GGACCCTCACCCCTCTCCAGGCCTTCCGGAAAGCTGTTAAAACCTGGCTGTGTTGGCAGGCCTGGGGTCGATGAGTTCCTTTCCCCTCTCGAGTCGTGTAGCTGTTGGTTGTTTTAAATTCCCTGTACTTTTTGTTGTAGTTCTTGTGTTTCCCTTCCCCTCCTTTGGGTTTGTGCGCTGCCCTGAGTCCCGCCGGGAATAGGGCGGCATATAAATAAAATGAACCTCGAACCTCGAATCTATGTATGCATTCATATGTATGCCTGTACAGTATATGGAAATGCATGTAAATATATTCCTACTTCTAAGTAAGGATCATGGCCATGATGTCATTGAAGTATTGGTAAAATCTTGGCCCTGGGGGATGAAAATTGCAGGTTGTTTGTTTTGTTTGCACTGTTTCTCCAACTTTATGAAGGTTTCCCACAAAACATTATCATCCAGATTTCCTGTCATTGCTTTAAAAGGAAACTTTCACAATGTCTGGAGGCCTTGATGTTCTACAGATGAAGGAAGAAGATATATTCAAATTCCCTGCTGCAGAAACTCATCTGAACAGCACTAATCTAGATTTTCTAATAATTCTGTTTCCAATAATTCTGCAACACCTAACAGTGGCTCATCCCTCTTTCAGGATTGAATTTATTTCATTTGAAAAAGGAGAAATAGTATCTCTCAGCATTTATGATCATGTTGATAGGTTTCTTGTGGCATCAATGGCCATAAATGTTATTGTGTCTCTATATAAGAAGGGAGAAAGCTGGGAATTTCCATCGCTTTGCAAAAGAAAAGACAAATGAAGAGAGTTAGATCCATTTCCCCTTCTGAACAATATGTTATCCCCATTCCCTTTGACATCACAATTTTTATGATGAATCAGGGCACCAAAGTGTGGTGCTGTTAAAAGAAAGTCAAGATGAAAGCCAAGGCTTTGGGCTTGCAGTCCCACCCCTTTTTACACTGTGGTACATACCACATATATAAAAAGGGGGAGGAGGGGCAGCACTTCAATCATGCAGTTGCAGCCACCAATTTTTCTTGGCCCTTCGTGAATGTCTGTGTGACAAATTCCAACATGGTATAAATTGGACCCTGCCACATCAAAGTGACAGATTAAGTCAGGGGTGTTAAACTCAAGGCCCGTGGGTCAGATCCAGCCCCCGGGCCTTGAGTTTAACACCTTAGATCCAGCCTGCAGGCCGCCCTGGAAACTTCAAAGGACTGGTTTGCAGTGCCAGTGAAAAACGGAGCTTGGGAGGGCTGTGTGCAGATCTCCCAAGCTCCATTTTCATTAGCAGAGGGTTACAGGAGGTCATTGCAGCCGAAAACAAAGCTCAGGAGCCTGTTTTCACAGGAAGTGTTCTCGGGCCGCCACAGATGCCCCTGACACAAGTGATGTCGACCTGGCCACCCGCACCTGGCCACCCCCATCCCTCCGAGGTCAAACACAATCCTGATGTGGCCAATCAATGAAATCAAGTTTGATGCCCCTGGATTAAGCCCTTGTCTCAATGAAATAATTTCACTCCAAAGAAAATGAAGTTTGTTTGGAAAACCATTGTTTTTCTCAAGTTAATAATACTCATCAATATTCAAAAGGTGGGTTCGTTTGGCAATAAAAATATTCCCTCTGCTGTTTCACAGTTAGGGGTGTTGAAGGCCATTCAGAATGAAATGATAAGCACAGATTCCATATTTTATCAGTTCTCTCTCACACACACACCCCAGGATAGAGTGGAGAGGGATATCACATTTGTTTTCCACCCCAGATTCTCTCAAGTTTTACCCAGATTAAAGTTCCAAGTTAACTCTTCTTTAAAAGAGCAATGGAAGCTTAGACTTTGTGGGGTTACACACCATGTAATGCAGTTCCCTCCTTTTAAACTTCCTGAGATTAAAGGCATTTTACGCATCAGAGAAAACTATCCCACTATAATTTTGACTCCCAAGGCTCCTGCAGGTCTCAGAATATTGAGGTCCCCAAATAATACTGGGGGTCTCACTAGGACATTATTGAGGATATTCCTCTGCATTTCTAAAGTGCATTCAGTGTTGGGATTACATCTGTCTGCCGGATACACTTTAGCTCAGTATATAATTTGGGTTACATTGCCTCCACCTGACATTTATGACCAATAGAGATTTTGAATAAATTTGATCTCCAGAATAGACAGCATTGCTTTAGCAAGGAGGCAGTGCAAAGATTCTAGTCCTCACACTTCTGGGTGTTCCCGCCATCTTTAAATATTAGGCTATAGCTTTGGGGGGAAGACGTGCCGTATTCTGCAAATTAATAACCCTAATTTCATTGTTTAAGCTTTTGGCAACCCAACCCTATTGTGATCAGAGTTTTCCAAACACCCCAAGGCAAGTATTCCAGCCTGCTTCCCTGGTACCCCACATGTTGCCTTTCCCACAATGGAAGCTGTGGAAATCATTCAGAGATGGGTGGTTGCAGTTTCCTCAGTCGGACATTGAATTTTGAGTGACGGAGACACTCAGACGTTCGGGAGCTTGCACCAAAACTACATGCTTGGTTTGGGAGATTGTGTTCCATCAACTGCAAAAAGAAAAAAAGATGGAAGAAAAGAATTAAGACTAAATCTCCTTTGCTTCAGATGCATTCCCTGGGGCTAATCTTTCCTGCTGCCTGCCCCAATCTTGGAAAATAATTTCTTTGCTCACCTGTCTAGGTTCGCTTTAATTTTCATTCTCCCACAAAGCAGGGGAGAGGACTGAGTGACCCAGGCTGCCCCTTTTCATTTCGTAGGATGCCGTTTGGGCCTTTAACCCTCTGCTGTGCCTCTCGCTCCCGTTTCACAAGTTTATGATGCCTTGCAATAGTGCAAATCTGTGCATACAGCGGTGACATTCGGAATCAAGCAGATTTTGAGAATTGTTTTTCAGAAGACACTAGCAGGAGTGTCTTTTAATTATGTTAGTAACCAAAACCTAGCCCAGCCCAGTGCCGGTCCCCAGGTTAACTGTTCTGAGCTCTGAAGAGGCTGGAAGAATGACTGCTTTGTGTGTTGTTCAGGAAAGAACTAGATTAAAAAGGTATTGGGATGTTTGCAGAACAATGAGCTGTGAAAACCCAGCCATAGTTCAGCAGTTCTCAACTTCTCTGATAACTGAAAGATGTGTGGACTTCAACTCCCAGAAGTTGAAGAAGTATAGCTGGCTGGGGAATTCTGGGAGTTGAAGTCCACACATCTTCAAGTTACTAAGAAACACTGCCTTTAAGTATTGGGTGACCAAGACAACACAATATTCTACACGAGCTTCTTTATCAGAGCATCTCAACATCTGTGTAGTGTTAAGCAAAGCTAAAGACTTAACAGTTATACAAACCCAGCCTAATAATAAGGAAGAAAACAGTGACTCTGACTTGTTCTTTTCCAAAGCTGTCTCCTCCTACGGTAGAGGTACCGTATTTTTCAGCGTATAAGACACACCAAGGTTTTGAAGAGGCAAATTAAAAAAAAATTTTTTTTTTGCACTCTGCAAATCTTCCCAAAATGGCTCATTTTTGCAAAAACGGGCCCATTTTTTATCAAAACAAGGGCATACATAGCCTTTAGGAGGCTTATAGAGTGCTACTGCGGGCTGGGGGGGGGGGAAACAAGCAAAAAACAGCCCATTTTTGCCCTCCCCAGCCCCTAAGACCACTCTGGAAGCCTCTTGAAGGCTATGCATCGCAATTGTTGCAATGGGGTTTCAGGAGGCCAAAAATGCTGTATTCAGTGTATAAGACTCACCCAATTTTTCACCCTCTTTTTTGATGGAAAAAGGTGCGTCTTATACTCCAAAAAATACAGTAGTCCTTGACTTACAACAGTTTGCTTAGTGCCCTTTCAAAGTTACAACAGCACTGGAAAAAAAGACTTAAGACTATTTTTCCCACTTACAACACAGTGATGTGATGAAAATTCAGAGGCTTAGCAACTGACTCAGATTTACGACGGTTGCGGTGTCCCGAGGTTGTGTGATCACGTTTTTTGATCTTTTGACAAGCAACGTCAAAGGGAAAGCCAGATTCACTTAACAAGTATGTTATTAATTTAACGACTACAGTGATTCACTTAACAACTCTGACAAGGTTGTAAAGTGGAGCAAAACTCACTTAACAAATGTTTCTCACTTAGCAACAGAAATGTTCGGCTCAATTGTGGTAGTAAGTCAAGGACTACCTGTAACACCTACTCTAATGGCCGGCACAAAACTGGAGTTGCTTCCTGAAACGAACATCTCACTGGTTCATCCCTTCCATTCTTCTTGCTCTGGCTTAAATAAGAAAGGAAAACTGACAAGCTTTGGGTAATTTCACCCAAGCCCTTGCACTCAATCCAAAGAGATGCCTTCTGCTAGCTCTTGCAAGCACAACAGGAAAACTTTACCAAAAACATCATGGTCTTTTAGTCCAGGAAAATGGGGCCGTATATCAGGGGTGGGATTGAAAATTTTTAGCAACCAGTTCTCTGCCCGGTTGCTGGGTAGGCGTAGGCATGGCCTACTTAGCCTCCTGCATCATGGCCTGGGAGAGCATTTTTGCCCTCCCTAGGTTCCAGAGATTTTCCTTGAGCCTCCGGGAGGGCGAAAATGGCCTCCCCCAACCTCTGGGGGCCCTCCGGAGGGCTTCCAGAAGGCCTGTTTTTCACCCTCCCAGAGCCTCTGCGCGGGCCCTGCACTTACCTGGCATCCAAAATGGGCTGCGTGGAGACTCCTGGCAGGAGTGGGGCCAGCCAGTCCTTTCGGCGAACCAGATGTAAAATTAGCATCCAGTTTGCCTGAACCAGTCTGAACTAGTTGAATCCCACCCCTGACGTACATCCATACTGGGATAAGGAAGGAGGGGAGGGGGAAATTGGCCTTTCCTCCTTTTCTTTACAGTTGTCAAGAAATTTATGATCTGTTTGTTTTCTTGCTCCCATGAGTGCAACCATATATGCCCAGCATCCTACCATCCTCCTGTCTTTCTGCCATTTCCCTGCCTAGGCAGGGGGTTGGACAAGTTTGTTTTTCACTTTATTATGTTTCAGCTTGTATATAGCAGTAGACTTATATACCGCTTCATAGGCCTTCAGGTCTCTCTAAGCGGTTTACAGAGANCCTTTCACAGAGGCACTGAGTTTTATAAATATGAGCATGATAGTGTAGAATAATCATATCCAAGGAATATATCCGCATCTTCAAAACAATGAAAGCCCAGGAATGTTTATAATGTTGTTTTATTTTGGCGTGCAACGGCTGATTGGGATAATGCTTTCTAATTTATGGAAATTTCAAAAAATGCTTGCCTGGTGGCATGGAGGGGACAGCAGGTTGAAGAGAAACTGCAGCTATTTATTTTAAAGATGCAAGAATTCCAATTACAGCTCTCCAAAGGCACAAGTTGTCATTGTGTGATTTTGCTCTCAGAAATGTTTCTGCAGTGCAATGGTAGAATCTATCTTGTCTTCTGGTGTATTCAAATTTAAATAATGCTTCCATGTAGAAATTATAGCAACACATTCATTATTACTGTAAAATAAAGAGGAATGATTCCAAGAACTTCCCAGAAAACGATGAGGATTCTTTTCTGAATTGATAGGACTTCTGATTCCTTGTCATGAATCTTGTTGCCAAACTCCTCTCTTGGCAAAGTTGCCTTTGGGTCTCTGAGAGTTTACGTGGCTAGGAAAAAGTTTTAATAGCAATTATTCACAATTTGCTGTTCAGGTATATTGTTAATGCAGTATTTAAATATTTATTTTTTATCATTTATTTAAAGAGTAACTTACATGTATCTCCATCTCAGTGGTATTAGATCTCAGATCTGGAAGAATGCATGAATTATAGATATTCTTAGGATATTATCAGTGCAGGATTCTCTCATTCACCTTGGGGGTTTCATGTTTAGATATTCCTTAAATATCTCCCCCCCCCTCATTTTTCTATTTTTGGAACTTTAGTTATAGATATTCTTGGAGATAAAATATGTAAATGAAAAATATTTTGTGAGAGCAAAAGCCAGCTTTGATGTAAAAGAAGCCACAGAGCCATTTGATGTTGGAAAGCTCTTTGAGGTTGATTTCTGGGGTTGTGAATGTTTTACTTATTGGAGTATTATTGTCATCTAATGATTTGGGGAGGGAGACTCAATGAGTTGGGAGTTGAAGAACTTTTCATAATGATTTTCTTTCTTTTAAATTCCTTTTCACTTCCCAGTATCTGCAAGAAGGCCGAAGGGCTCAACAACAGCTAGAAAATTCCTTCAAGCAACTTGAAAATGTGAGTTCTGATTTTCCCTTAGCAGTTTAGATTAACATTCAGGTTGTGTGCTAGTTGTTGAGGATTCTGTATTTTTGCCTTTGAAAACTGAAAGCTTGTTTGCTTGATTCATATTTCAAGCAGGATCACAGCTGTGGAGGACACTGTTTCCCCCCCAGAGGTCTCCAAACATGGATGGAAACATTGCTTGGAAAATAAATGGAGTCTTTTTTTAATTCCAGCAACAATTCTTCTATCCAATCTTTTAAAATTCCTCGGAGAATTCATGCATACAAGGAAACAGTGAAAACATCCAGAGTGCGTGCCAAGGGAGAGGAGGAATTTTAGGCTGTTGGTCCTAGAAAGCAGTTCTGTTTTGGACATTTTCCAAGACTTTCTGATCTCACTTTTCCCAACCCGATGCCCTCCAGATGTGCTACATCCGTCACCCTGTAACCCCAGACAAGGATAACGTGTAAGGCAGTTGTAGTTCAACCCATCTTAGCACAGAAGTAGGGGAAGCTGCCATAGAGTTTTGTGTATTGATAAAAATAATAATCATTGAGTTAGTTTTCTAGGGAGAAAACCCTGATTAAAGTAGAGTAGAGCTTTTCAGAGGCAAAAGCAAAGTCTTTCTCTGGGATTGTGTTTCACTTATGTGCTGTGACATTTCATACTAACGTAAACAGAAAACAGTAGCAACTCTTGTCAATGCTTAATGTTTTCAGGGTGCGTCTTTCTGCATGATCAAAATAAATGTTCCTATGACTGAATATTTCTATTCAAAGCACCAAATTTTCATAAAGTACAAAACTGTGCACCTCATGTGTGTCCATGTGTAGACTAAACATCCCCATTGAACAAAAAGTTGTCTTTCCAAACCCAGAGTATATAATACCACTGCTGCTCTTTCTGCAGAGATTCGGACCCTCACCTCTCTCCAGACCTTCCGAAAAGCCCTTAAAACCTGGCTGTGTNTACAATGAAATTAAATGCTGTCCTCAATGTACATTAAATTATAAAAATAAAAACACAAACATGCATCCTTTACGCTCTATTTAATTGAAATTGAAAACCCGATATTGCACAATACCGTAGAATTTACTATGGTTATTGCCCTGGCACCTGGAAGCTGTTTTCAGCCTCCTTGTCCTTCATTATCCTGTGCCGTCTACCAGATGGTAATACTTAAAAAATAAGGTGCCCAGGATGAGATGGATCTTTGAGAATGTTTTAAACTTTCTTAAGGCAGCGGGAACTATAAAGCTCTTCCAAAGAGGGGAGAAGGCAACCAATGATCCTCTGGGCAATGATGCTGCCCCTCTGGAGTGCTGTCCTATCTGCCACTGTGCAATTGGCAAACCCTACACAGATGCAATAAGTTAGAATACTCTCTATGGTGCAGCGGTAGAAGGTCAAGGGTAGTTTTGCATTTAGTTGTTGTTTCCTGAGAAGTCTCAGGTAAGTATATTCTCTGCTGCGCCATTTTAACCAGTGCTGCAATGTGAGTGCCCCAGGTCAGGTCCTCTGTTAAGATAACACCCAGAAACTTAAAACTGCCCACTTGCTCCACTCGGTCTCCATTGATAAGCAAGGGCTGGATGTCTGATCTATTCCTTTTATAGTTAGTCCACTATAAACTCTTTGGTCTTATTTGTGCTAAGGATCAATTTATTGTCTCCACACCACGAAAGCAACCCTTCACGATAGGCAGACGGAATCCCCCCCCCCCCGGAGATTAGTCCCACCACAGTTGTATCACCTGCAAATTTAGTGACAGTATTACTAGCGTAAGTAGAAATGCAGTCATGCACATAAAGACTATAGAGTAAGGAACTTGACACGCAACCCTGAGGTGTACCGGTGCTAAGAATGAGGGCTGAAGAGATATGATTACCTAATCTGACCCTCTTGAGAGCGGCCACACAGAAAATCCATAATCCAAAGGCAGATTGAATAGGAAAGCCCAGGATTCATAAATTTAGACACTAATCTATGTGGAATTACTGTGTTAAATGCAGAACTAAGATCTACAAAATTATTAAAGATTTGTGTGTCAAACTGGAGGAAAAAAGAAAGAGATACAGAAAGAAAAATGACGTAGGCTGCATTTTTTAAAATGGATTTTCAACCACTTTTCCATCCGTTTCAATTTTGTTTTGCTCACTGTACCTAACTTCGGTGTGTCACTGTCGACTCCAAATCTAGTCAAATGTTTTCATAGCAATGGAGCCTTCCGCTTTTCTTATTTTGTTTTTTCATTTCCTTTTCCTCCTTTCATTTATGGTTAAGGTGACCAGACGTCCCGCTTTCGGCAGGATAGTCATGCTTTTTAATAATTTTTCCCGTGTCCCGGGGCATTTTTAAAAAGTCCCGATTTTTGTAGAAAGGGTGCCCCACCCCTTTTTTGGCTCCACCACATGGCTTCCTCTTACAAACATTTTCACTCATTTTTCCAGGTCTATCTTGTCTATAGATAGACTAGTGGCTGTGCTCTGGGAGGGCAGCCTGCGGGGCTGGAGGCTGCGTGGTGGCTGCGCGCTGCCGAGAACTAGCAGGAGTCGCGGGGCGGGCTGACCGAGCGGCCTTGCACGCAGCTCACCTCACCACTCGATGGAGGCTGCCCGGCTGCTTTCTCTCCACCCTCACCTTTTTCCTCCCCTTCCTCCTCCTCCTCCTCC